GGGGGTCCACGTGGAGACCAGGGCAGTGCCAGGCCCCCCACACTAGCACACAGTGGAATCAGGCCGCTGCCCTCTCTGGTCTCTCCCCAGACATGGCGTTTGGGGGCGTCTTGTCTTCTCACCAGCCCTGTGCCTGCCTGCCTTCTCAGGGACCCTGCATAATTAGTCACGAGCCCCAGTCAGGCCCCAGCAGGTGCATGTGGATCCACACTGGAAAGAAAAGTTGTGGGGAACTCACCACCTGCCCTGTTTTCCTCCTCAGGATCTTCATCATCTGGGCCATCAGCAGCTGGTTCCGCCGAGGGCAGGCCCCTCAGGACCAGGTGGGCCCCGGAGGAGCCCCGCGCGTCGCCAGCCGCAACCTGTTCCCCAAAGACACTTTAATGGTAACTGTGGCTGGGAGGCCAGATAAAGGAGACAAGAGCGCCGGGGAGGGTGTGGGGGAGGGACGAGGGCAGTGATTCGGTCCCTGGTTACTGTCAGGTCTGTGGACAGGACCAGAGCAGAGGGACTCTGGGCCTCTCCACAACCCATGTCACTCAGGCGGCACCCATAAGGAAAAAAGTAAATTCTTTTGGTTTTGTGGAGGTTCTATACTTGGGGAAGAGGGACATCCAAGCGGTCATTCAGTTGTTTCAAAACTATCTTAACAGGGTCCTTAATGTATTTTACTTTAAAAGTTGCAAAGGGAGGTGTGCAGGGGAGGGGAACGGACAGGAGAAGCTGAGAAGGGCCGAGGAACAGGGCAGAGGCAGGGGGAGGAAGCACCTAGAGCAGCTGAGGGTCAGGAGCATCCGAAGCAAGTGGTCAGACCCCAGTGATCCAGGCTTCTCTCTCCTTTGTGGTTTTCTGCAGCTCTGGGATTCCTGATTTCCGAAAATTCTAGTCAGCGGGGTGGCCGCTGCTCAGCTGATCTTGGTCAGTGGGCCTTCGGAGCTCTGGAAAAGACAGCCATGGGCCCCTGAGAGAGGAGAGAGCTCTCAGAGGCACGGCTTGCCCGTGTTCTCAGCGATCGGCTGGCGCTCCTGCAGATCTTGCCCGTGCTCTGTCCATGAGCCTGTGCAGCTCTGACCAGGAGGCCATAAGAGGCCGAGGAGGGAGAAGATAGTTCAGGGGGGCCCTCATCCCTTCTAACCCCAAAATCTAATTGCCAGGCTGGCCATTCTTTAATTGGTTTTTGCTCATAGACATCGCAGACTCAGACCAGGACAGATGTGGCGGAAGCATGAGGAAAGAGATTGACTCTGCTAGCTGCTACTCCTCTCCCCACTAAGCCCCATTTTTCTCCTCTCATCAAAGTTACTCATAGTCAGGTGCTGACCGCTGCCACAGCTCTTTATCCGCTCTTTATCTGTCAACCTTCAGCCCTCTTACAGGAGGCCCTAAGTTCCCCTCTTTTCATCTCAACAGAACCTGCACGTGTACATCTCAGAGCACGAGCACTTTACAGACTTCAACGCCACATCAGCGCTCTTCTGGGAGCAGCACGACCTTGTGTACGGTGACTGGACTAGCGGCGAGAACTCAGATGGCTGCTACCAGCACTTTGCTGAGCTCGACATTCCACAGGTGGGGACAGCTTCTGGTTTCTGGCCCCAAGGCTGCTCGCCTTGCACTGAGGGTCTTTCCTCGAACCAACGCCCGGCCCTGCATCCTGGAGTTCAGGCTCTAAGCCTGGTCCTACCCTCAGTTCACATGCTGTGTGGCCATGCGCCGGTCTCGGAGGTCTCTGGGCCATGGCCTCCCCACAGCTCCATGTGGGTGGAGTTGAAATTGGCCTAGGATCCTGCCAACTACCTCTAGGGTTGTGTATTTCTGTGGTTTGAACCAGTGGAAGACCGGTAATCGTCCTTGGGGGTGTGCAGTCATCACTAGTTTGTCAGGCAGCCAAGTTTGAGGATAACAGTTAACATCGATTAAACACTTACTATGTGCAGGGCACCAAGCCAGGCCAACGGGCGTAACCCCCCGACAGCCCTATAAAGTAGGAACTGTTCTCTCCAGTGATGAGGACGCTGAGGTACAGAGAGGTTAAGTGGCTTATAGAGGTTAAGGTCACACAGCTAGTGAGAGGTTCAAACTTAGGCTGCCTGGCCCCGGACTCTTCTGGCAGCCCCAGATGGACATTCCGCCTCCCCCAAGAAGCCCTCCCTGACTCTCAGGCCGCTGCCCTCTCTGGTCTCTCCCACCCAAGCCCTGCCCATGCTGGGGGCTGTCATTACCTGGACGTGGGCCTCTCCCCACAGTGGGACTGTGAGCCCACCAAGAGTAGGGCTGCAGCGGTCTTGGTAACCACTGTGCCCAGCTCTGCCTAGTATGGGGCTGGGTGCCAAGTCAGTGAGTGCTGAACGATGAGTGAATTTGCTGAATCCGTGACGTTCATGTCTCTTTGGGGCTGTGCTGTCATCTGCTTCTCCCTAGCAGGTCCCCTCAAGGGGCATGTCTGCTGTGTCTGTCTCTGTCTTGGTCTGTGGGGGTGGCCGGGCGCGGGGTGTGGCACAGTCTTTCTGAGGCAGGTGGGCTAACCTGTGTTGAGGGGCGGCTCCCACTGAGAGTCACGCTCAGGCCCCAGCCCCTCCCTACCCGAGGTCCCAGCTAGCCTGTGGGGCCGCAACAGCCAGCCCCAAGGACTTGGGTCTGATCCTTCTTCCCAGCTTTGAGGTGGGAGGGTGTCTCAGCTGCACCCGATTTTAATTTACGGAGGTGACTGAGTGACTGAGAGCTGGGGGGGGGCGGGGAAGCTGCAGGAGGCCTGTGTCGTGCGGGGATTCAGTGTTTCCTTCTCCCTGTCGGCCGCCTTGCAGAGCGTCCAGCAGAATGGCTCCATCTACATCCACGTCTACTTCACCAAGAGTGGCTTCCACCCGGACCCCCGGCAGAAGGCCCTGTACCGCCGGCTTGCCACAGTCCACATGTCTCGGAGTAAGTCAGTCCCCACAGCCCGGGCCCACCGTCCAGGCGGCCAGCAGCCCGGGCGCCTCAAGCCAGTGCAGGGCATCAAATCCCAGGTCCCCGGGGACCAGCAGGAGTCTAGGCCCGGAGAGTCTGGGATTGGCGGGGCGCTCTTTGTGCTCTGTAGACACCCCTTGGGCAGATGGGGAGCAGTAGGCTTAGAAAGAGCAGGTGGACAAGGACTTTTGAAGCGGAGGTGATGGGCCAGCTCCTGTGCAGTACCTGGCTTGGTAGAAGTAGATGCTCAAAAATAGTCTGAGTGGAGGATGGGTTGACTGACCCTTCAGAACAGTCCGAATGAACAGTGGGTTGATTGATACTCTAGAATAGCCTGTGAATGGATGATGGGGTTGATTTAATGAGGAGAGAGAGACAGGAGGGCCTCTAAAATTTGTTTCATCCAGTGTGACCTCTAAGCATATCTGTGTCAACCCAGCTTGGTAAATGGGCGCTGCCCAAATGCATGGCCCTCGGAGTGTCTTGGGGGACAGTGCCTCGCTCCCATTTGACCTATTTGTACGGGCCCTACGTGGCTGTGCCGTGAGCCCTTGGTTCTCAGACACACACCTCTGAGCAGTGCCCTCCATTTTGAAGGCAGGGTAACGAGGGCCCTGGAACTGGATGAGGTCCCCCATTCTCGTCCTTGCTGGCCGCCAGCCGGGGCCGAACAAACCCCCGGGACTGTAAGGCACTCTCGGGAAGCCCTGGGGCGGGGATAGCCACTTGGTGACTTCTGACACAGCCTTGTGTTGAAACAGATTTTCTCTGGCCTGGGCATCTTCGTAAATTTTTTCCTCACCTCTTGTTACAAGTACAGTTGACCCCTGGACAGCACAGGAGTTAGGGGTACTGGCCCTCTGTATACCTGAAAATATATGTGTAATTTTTTGTTTTTATTTTTTATTTTATACGTATAATTTTTTACTCCCCCAAAACTTAGTTGTCCCTTGGTATCCATGGGGGATTGGTTCCAGCACCTCCAGCGAGTACCAGAATTCGAGGATGCTCAAGTCCCTTATATAAAATGGCGTAGGTCAGTTCACATAGTTGTGGGCTCTCTGCATCCATTGATTCCCAACCACAGATGAAAAAACAGCACACGTATGTTTATTTTTGTAAATCCTCATAGAAGTGGGCCTGTGCATTTCACACTCGATGTTCAGGGGTCAATTATATATGGTTTAAAATTCAAGTAATCAACAAGACGGTGAAGCTCATTAGTCCCCTCTTCCCCACTCCTCCCCCAGTTCCATCCCCCACAGGCAATTGCTTTCGCATGCATTTAGCTGTTTCTTCTGCTTTTTAATCCCCTGGCTTCCAGTAACAAGTTGATACCTCAATTTCTTGCTTTTTCAGTTTGAGACATTATTTCCTGGCCTCCTCCTCCTCTGGAAGAGGAAATATCAACATATTAACATGATTTTGATTAGATTAACATTGAGTATTCAGAAGACTGAGGGTGTGACTTTTGTTTACATCTGAACCACACCCTGAACATGGTTTATTTTTTTCTTTTCTGTCCAACTGCTCGTCTTCCATGAGGTTAGTGAGCGCTGGCATATTTTTACTTGCTCTTCATGTCATTGTCCTGGAGTCCACTGTCTTCCGATTGTCTGTCCCAGGAGTCTCTCTCTGTAGTTGAGCTTTGGCAGCTCTGGAGAAGGTTCACACAGAAAGCCCCGTTCCCCTCCCATAATTTTGCAAGCTCCACCTCGCTTTCATTTTCCTGCGCCTGTGAATTTAGTGATGATCCATCCCGCTCTTTGTGTGGCACAAAAACAGATGTACTTCTGTTTGTGTGGTTATGTCTTTCTTACTTATTTTGATCAAAAATATCCCAGCCCTGACCAGCATGACTCAGTCGGTTGAGCATTGTCCCACAGAGCCAAAGGTCACCAGCTCGGTTCCCGGTTGGGGCACATGCCTGGGTTGCAGGCCAGTCCCTGGTTGGGGGCTCATGCAAGAGGCAACTGGTTGATATTTCTCTCCCTCTCTTTCTCCTTCCCTCCCCTGTCTCTAAAATTAAATAAATAAAATCTTTAAAAAAAAATCCCAGTGTTTGTGGCTGGGGCCCCAGAGCAGCGATCCTGGGCGGGATGGTGCGGAGGTGCCAGGCCAAAGTGTTGCCTTTTGCAAAACATGCTGAAATAACAAGATTTCGTTCAGAGGCTATTTCTGTGCCACAAGAAATAAAAGCATTGCAGCTGTGGAGTGAGATAGAAATGCGACATCCAGGACTGGCTGATGTCAGGAATCGGGACACTGGCTGTTCGTCAAGTATTGCTATATGTCAGGTTTGGAGACCAGCTCCTCCTGCTTCAGTTGGCAGATGAAACTGCCATCATCCCTCCATTGGTGGAGGGTGGTGCTGTGGAGACCCTTGAGAAAGATATGAGTGAAGTTGAAGAGAAATGTAAAGATTTAATAAAATTCACTGCTGAGAAACCTGCGGTAGATGAAGTCTGACAGTCGGTGACTTCTTCACTCTGGTGCAATTTCCCTATTTGTAGGGACCACAAGAAATAACTTTGAAGGAAAGAAAGTCATTGGCTTAGAACGTGAAGTGTACCTACCGATGGCAGAAAACAGAGTCAGAAGAATCTGTAGAGACATTAGCCAGAAATGGCCGGCCAAGCCCATAGCAGTGCTCCGGAGACTTGGCGTAGTGCCAGTGTCAGATCCAAGCCTTGTCATTGAGTGTCCTTGCCCACAGGGCCTCATCCCTCGAGGCCGTGAGCTAAGCCATTGGTACTTTAAAAGCCAAGGTGCCCATATGGAAAAAGGAAATGTATGAAGAATCGTCATCATGGAAAAGAAACAGGGCTTTTGGGAAACAAATGATTAAATCACTTATGTTTTTCTGGAGTGCTTAAATATAAATTTGGTATGCTTATCTTTGATCACATTTTGATTTTTCTTCTCCAGAAGTCAAGATAGGTTAGGATGAGATTTAACAGTGGAACTAGAGGTAGAGGGAAGACTGTAGGGGGGAAAAAATAGAAGAATAATTTAAATACGAGGAAAGATGTCAGTGGTAGACAAACTATTCCATGACTAGGTTCTAATATTAACTGGACTCCCTGAGGTGTGGCCCCTTCTCACTGACCTTGTCTCAGAACCTACCCCACCCCCCACCTCAACAGCCAGTGACATCATTGTTACCAGGGAAGTATTACGGGAATGTTGGCATAACTGGAAGGTATACGAAGTCACTATTGGACAGTCTGGATGTGATATATTTTTATAATTTCTATATTAAAAAACTAAGCCAAATAAACACATGATTTAAGAAGTTAAAATATCGCAAAGGATGATCTTTTGTTTTTTGTTACTATCTACACTGGATTGAACAAACAGTTGGCGACTCAGTGTGGCCTGTGTGCTGAGCACTGTCTTACGCGAGCAGGTCTGGAGTGTGCTCTTTGCATGTTCTACCTCCTGCCTGCCTTGTAGCAAGGTCTTCGGAGACACGGGCAGAGGCGAGCCGAGGGGGTGTGGCCTGCAGGGGCCGTCCCTAGCGACATGTCCCCTCAAGTGGGATTCGTCAGGGGCCTGGCGTAGAAGTGCCCGCCACCCCAGAGGTTGCCTCACTTGTGTCCTGTCTGCCCTCTCTGAGGCCAGTATTTTTTGTGGTTTTGCCTTTGGAGAATGAGATGCTCGTCGCTGTGGGATGAGGTGGTGGTCACAGTCACTGGGACAGTTGTCTGTGGGCTGCAAAACAGAGTCTGCCGCCGGTGGACCTGGAAAGCCCGCCGGGGTCGCCCAGGCTTGTGTCACAGCTGGGACCCCTTGGAGCTGGGACTTGGAGCTGACCTCCCAGTTCCAGGGAGAAGGACGAGAGCGCGGGAGCGGAACGGCAGTCGGTAGGCTAGAGCAACCCTGTCCCCTAGAGATACAGTGCTCGCTGCCGAGTTATTTTAAGTTTTCTAGTGGCCACATTAAAAAACAAAAACAAACTATAAAATTAATGTTAGTAATAACTTTATTGAGTGACATATTGTCATTTCAATATGTAACCGGTATAAAAAATTACCGAGACTCTCTTACATTCTTTTTCTTCCTCCGCACCGAGTTTCCTAATTGGGAGTGTTCTGCATGCACAGCGCACCTCCGTTTGGATCGGCCATGTTGTCAGTGCTCAGTAGCCGCATGCGGCCAGTGACCACCATCCTGCCTGCTGCACTTCTAGAAGCTTGAACTCTGAGAAAAGGGGGCTCTTTCCTCCCCACAGAAGCCCGGTCTGTTCTGTATCATAGTGCCATCAGGGTGCTACCAAGCTGTAGAATGTCCTCACCGGAGCCTAAGCCCCTCCTGTGCCTCCTCCTGCGGGCCCCTCCCTTCCCTGGACTGCCTTTCCTGGGTGTGGAGCAGCCTCGGAGAATGTCCCTCCAGAATTTATTCTTCAGAATGCCCGCCCCCCCCCCCGCCCCCGCCGACCGGATGTGGGGCAAGGTCTCAAATGCATTAATGATGAAAAGTGACGGCATGATTTCTGAGGCAGTACTAAGAGCTGCAGGCCCCAGGCTGAAACCCTAAGTCCATTCCCGGAAATGTTTTTGAACATGAGCTTGTGTGTAGTATCCCGGAGCCTCGAGCCCTAGTTCTGAGTGGGTGGGAAGGATCTGGGCCCCGTGGTTCGTGTACCACATGTGACGTGCAGGGACACTCTGCCTGGCTGGGCTCTGGAGGGCAGAGAGCCACTTCTCAGTGGTCCTGCTAAGAAGAGGTGGAGCTTTTATCCCCATTCTCCAGAGGAGGGACCGAGGCCCAGGGAAGTGACGTAGCTCACCAGTGTCCCTCAGCTCGTGTGAGAGAGCCAGGGTGTGACTTCAGGGCTCCTGCTCTTGGCCAGCTCCCTTTCCCATTTCCCCATCTCTCCCTGCCTCTTGGAGGCAGGATGGAGAAACCCTAAGAGGGTCAGGCTGCGTTTTTTTCCCAGCATAAGGAAGAGCTGAAAAGTACCCAAGCAGGGTGGAGGCAAGGAGATCAGGCATAGCAAGCACCAGCTCCTTCCTCCTGGCAGGTCTCGGCATGGCCCAGGGCAGGGTGGCAGGGAGCCCGCGGCCAACCTGGCCTCTGCAAGAGGAAGTGAGGTCTCCTCCTGGCTGGGGATTCACAGCCCTGAAGTATTTCTCACACCAGTGGTTCTGGGCCTTCTCCGGAACTGTCTGCAGCTCGCCTGTGTATGTTCGCGAATCCCTGTTTGTCACGGGGCACTAGCCAGGGGCCCTTCTCCTCCTGGGGTGCACAGACAGTGAATAAACCAGTGGGCGCATGAACTGGGGGCAGTGTTGAAATGTTATGAAGGAAGCACAAATGCCGACGATCGTGACTGGATGGCCCCCTTGGCATGGGTGCGTAGGGAAGCCCTGTGGAAGGGGGCCATTTAACCAGGGACTTGAAGTGTGAGGAGCCAACCAGGAAGAGTCCAGCCCTGGGGGATACGTGTCAGGGCGACGGAGCAGCATGACCGAAGGCCCTGGGTTGATGCGTTTGAGGAGAGAGGCGGGCGAGGGCTGAGACATCGGTGGGGCTTGTGAGCATCGAAGGCGCCCTGCTCAGGCTGCAGGAGCCGTCTGGGGTTTGGAAATAGTGAGAGAACAGCGTCAGATACTTGGTTGAAAAGAACTGCCGGCTGCCCTGCAGAGAGTGTCACAAGAGGCAAGGGTGGCTGCCAGGAGGCCCGTAAGGAGGCAACTGTAGCCATCCAGAAGGGGGACACCGTGGCTGGCTCGGCATGGGGTGCTGGAGGTGGGAGTCACAGTCGGACTGGGGCGTGTGCCGGGGGGCGTCCCCAGCACAGGCAGGATGGAACAGACACACAGCAGCTTGTAGAGCAGGAAGACTCCATGTTTCCACCTCGAGCCATCTGGTGAATGGATGTTGGTGTCGCTGTAAAGATGGGCAAAGTGGGACTAGATGAGATTGGAGTGGGCAGCTCAGGCTTGCCGGTCGCTGTTACCATCAGCTGGAGAGGGGGACGGTGGGAGCTGGGAACCAGCGAGCGGCTCTCGGTGCGCAGAGGTCTGGGGTCAGATCACTCTGGTGCCAGCAGATCTCACGTCCACCCCTCTCCCTGCCTCCCCCACAGTGATAAACAAATACAAGCGCCGGCGGTTTCAGAAAACCAAGAACCTGTTGACAGGAGAGACAGAAGCTGACCCAGAAATGATCAAGGTAAATGAGCGGCGCTCTTGGGCCTGGGGGCGTCAGGCTGTTCACGGCCTCTGTGGGCCCTCTTCCAGCTCCACCACTGGGCCACGAGGGGGCTCGGTCAGGTCTCCTCACTTCTCTGACCTCAGTTTCCCTCTCTGGACATGGGGCTGGGAAGCAGGGCTACCTCTCAGGGAATGCGGGATTCCGGGTAAGGGTGGGTCCCGTCACTATTCCCGTTTTCAGGCGGGAGGACTTGCCTGAAGTGTCATAGCCAGGAAACAACAGGGCAGGACTCACATGCAGGCGGTCAGACCCCGAGCCCGAGGCTGGCGGGCAGGGCCGGGACGGATAATGAGCCTCCAGCAGGAACCCTTCTGGGCGGGCTGGGGGTGCCAGGACGCTACTGGTGCTGGTGCTGAGAACCTTTCTTTCTCTGTGGAGTGGTCCAAGCAGGCGGTCTGTGAGCGTGGAGGCTGCACATATGCCCCCTTCGCAGCGTGGCACACGGTCCCACCTAGATCCGCAGGCCTGGGTTTTCTGCTCTGAGGTGCCTGGGGGTGCAGATCCATGGGGTCTGTAAAGGCTGGCGTGGGGCTGGCTAGGATGAGCCCCCAGCCAGTGGTCACTGTGGTCATTGCTCTTCTGTTGTCAACGATTGTCTCGGGAGCCCCCGGGAAGAAAGTCCCTCTGAGCCCTACCATCCCTCTTTCCCCTCAGAGGGCTGAGGACTATGGACCCGTGGAAGTGATCTCTCACTGGCACCCCAACATCACCATCAACATCGTGGATGACCACACGCCGTGGGTGAAGGGCAGCGTGCCTCCGCCCCTGGACCAGTGTGAGGCCCCCAGCTCCCTGGGGCTCCTGACCCGGCCATCTCCTTGTCTCCTGGGTCTCTGTGTACCCGGGCTCCCCACCCTGCCCAACCCTTCCCTAGACACTGCCCTTCCTTCCTCGCACACCCCTGCTGACCCCAGCACTGGCTGCGCAGTGTGCCTGCACCAGGCTGCAGACGGCGCCTCCGGCCCCTGAGCTGTATTCAAGAGATGTGCATCAGCTGCTGACTTCAAACTGGGACAGCATCGCTGAAAAACCCGGGTTCCTGACTCCTTTGATGAAACCCTGATACATGGTCACCGTGGGCTGGAGCTGAGCCAAAGCTGCCCCTTCCCTGGGGCCTGCCCAGCGCTTCCTGCCCTGGTCCCTTTGCTGAGATCAGGTGGCTCTTCAGTTCCTCATGGCGCTGCCGATAAACGTCCCTTCCGCCAGTCTCTGTCAGGGGGCCCATCTGAATTTTCCACCTTGCCCTGGGAGGCCTGAGGGGTCTCCCTACCCTCACGGGTGCCCGTGGCTCCAGCCCCAGCTGAGCAGTG